TGGAGACCTGTATGTTAACAGGTTTTTGGATGGAGACCTGTATGTTAATAGGGTTAGGGATGGAGACCTGTATGTTAACAGGTTTTTGGATGGAGACCTGTATGTTAATAGGGTTAGGGATGGAGACCTGTATGTTAACAGGATTAGGGATGGAGACCTGTATGTTAATAGGGTTAGGGATGGAGACCTGTATGTTAATATGATTAAGGATGGAGACCTGTATGTTAATAGGATTAGGGATGGAGACCTGTATGTTAATAGAGTTAGGGATGGAGACCTGTATGTTAATAGGATTAGGGATGGAGACCTGTATGTTAATAGGGTTAGGGATGGAGACATGTATGTTAATAGGATTAAGGATGGAGACCTGTATGTTAATAGGATTAGGGATGGAGACCTGTATGTTAATAGAGTTAGGGATGGATACCTGTATGTTAATAGGATTAGGGATGGAGACCTGTATGTTAATAGAGTTAGGGATGGAGACCTGTATGTTAATAGGATTAGGGATGGAGACCTGTATGTTAATAGGATTAGGGATGGAGACCTGTATGTTAATAGGATTAGGGATGGAGACCTGTATGTTAATAGGATTAGGGATGGAGACCTGTATGTTAATAGAGTTAGGGATGGAGACCTGTATGTTAATAGGATTAGGGATGGAGACCTGTATGTTAATAGAGTTAGGGATGGAGACCTGTATGTTAATAGGATTAAGGATGGAGACCTGTATGTTAATAGGGTTAGGGATGTGGGAGTCAGCAAATGAATAGATAGATAGTGTATAGATAGAGAGTTACCCTGAGGCAGAGCCATGTATTTCTGCCCTGAGGTATCTTACAGATGGACAGGCTAGTGATACGAGAGTGCTAACAACATCGGATCAACAACAGTAACAACACATAAATCAACAAGACAGACAACACTACATCAGCAAGACAGACAACACTACATCAGCAAGACAGACAACACTACATCAGCAAGACAGACAACACTACATCAACAAGACAGACAACACTACCTCAGCAAGACAGACAACACTACATCAACAAGACAGACAGCACTTCATCAACAAGACAGACAACACTACATTAACAAGACAGACAACACTACATCAGCAAGACAGATAACACTACATCAACAAGACAGACAACACTACATTAACAAGACAGACAACACTACATCAACAAGACAGATAACACTACATCAACAAGACAGACAACACTACATCAACAAGACAGACAACACTACATCAACATGACAGACAACACTACATCAACAAGACAGATAACACTACATCAACAAGACAGACAACACTACATCAACAAGACAGATAACACTATATCAACAAGACAGATAACACTACATCAACAAGACAGACAACACTACATCAACAAGACAGATAACACTTTATCAACAAGACTGACAACACTACATCAACAAGACAGACAACACTACATCAACAAGACAGACAACACTACATCAACAAGACAGATAACACTTTATCAACAAGACGGACAACACTACATCTACAGTACTGACAAAACTACATCCACAGCACTGACAACACTACATCAACAGCACTGACAACACTACATCAACAGCACTATTTATATATGTATAGTTTGCGACAGCAGATAAAGATATATCTGATAAATACCCACAAGCACCAGCCTTCACATACAGAGGGCCCCACTTTCTCCATCACTCACCCCACAAACGGAGCAGTGATCTGAGAGGAGAAGTGGAAGTGATGGGGTGGAGTATGGAGCCTGTGGAGGAGGTCTGCCCTTGGCCCCGTTCACAGTCCTCATCCATGCAGTGAATCAGACAGTGATCCGTAGGATGACAGTCAGGGGAGAGGAGACCCACAGACCTCATCCATCACACTAAGAGCCAGAACGGCCCGGCAGGGGCACACACACCAACACACACACCAACACACACACACACACACACTAACACACAGGCACACACACACACACTAATGTACACACACACACACACTAACGCGCAGGCACACACACACACACAAAAGCTGGTCATGAGAGTCATGAGCGGGTTAGTGGTTGTGCAGTGATCTTGCTGAGCTGGTTGGCATAGCGGCGAGAGTGAATTTCTGCCGGCTATTTTGATTGCTTATCTGCTGCAGCAGTGGTTGTGTCCTGAAGTTGAAATAGCTGTATTTGACACCAGACACAGAGAGGCAACAGGCAGAGAGTTTTGAGTCACGCTCTCCTCAGATATTGCAGTATCAAAATATTCCCAGCTATCGTAAAGCAGGACATCATCCAGACCCTTCAGATACAGTATTGCAGCTGCCGGGCTGTGCTTTGTTTTGACAGGGGAGGGGAAAGGTGTGTATGTGTGTGTGTGTGTGTGTGTGTGTGTGTGTGTGTGTTACACCATCTATGTGGGTTTACCAATGCCTCTGTATGGAAAGCAGGCTATTAATAGTAAATGTGGAGGATACACATTCTCTGTCTTAAATCTCTAGGAACCTTAGAGAATATATGGCATAATGTATAGCATATAATACCATATAGAACATGCACCTCGTAATCCTACCTCATATTTCCTCCTCATCTAAGGAGAATGTTGATCGGGTTTGTTGATATTCAGAAGATCAAGTAAGCCTATACTGGGATCTAATACAAATCCGCAAATGTGATTGTTTTTCCGTGATAATTTTACAGAAAAGGGTATAGCAATTAATTTTAGTTAGAGGAAAGGTAATCTCCAGTGAGCGTTGTCTCTCATCCAAAAGTGGTGGAACTCTGCTTGCCCAATGTTCAACCTCTGTTTATACAGTTTTTAATCATAGTTGCAATAAAATAGTATATAGGAAATAACTATGCAACAAGGGAATATTTTTCATCTCTTTGAGACAGAGACAGACACACAAATCCTGAGGAGAGTCTGGCTCTTCTCCCCGTGACTCAAACCCTGAACGGCGCCCAGTAAACACAAACTACAACATGTATTATTTATCTGTTTAGCTCTGCCTGAAACACAACCAATCTTCGGAGTGCTTTTTAACATCCCTCCACGAAAGGCCCTGTGATATGTTACATTAACTTCTCCTTCTCATTCATCTTAAAATTCCAACTTTTAAAGCAGCGCAAACTTGGTTTAATGTCTGCTTCTTTCATGATGTTCTGCCGCTAAAAACAGCTAAGTAAACATGATATGTTGCATTATCAACCCTTTTATCATTTAAAATAGCAACCTTTAGATTTTAGAGAACATATTTAGTATCTCTTGAGTGTCTCTTTATAATAAGATACTTAGCATGGCCCTTTACTCTACCTGTTTTATCTTTGATTCCTGACAGGTACTCCTCAAGGGTCAGTGTCAGTCCCGCTCGTATATTTGTCTCTGATGGGCTAATTGTGTTGAGCTGATCTCAGCTCGCTTCACATAAATATTTTTATTTTTATATATTTTTAAAGTAATTTAGCACAAGGTTTCCCAAACTCAGTCCTGGGGCCCCCCTGGGTGCACGTTTTGGTTTTTGCCCTAGCACTACACAGATGATTAAAATAATCAAAGCTTAATGACAAGTTAGTTATTTAAGACAAAAATCAAAACATGCACCAAGTTTAGGAAACCCTGACTTAGCAGATGCTCTTATCCAGAACGACTTACAGGAGCAATTAGGGTTAAGTGCCTTGCTCAAGGTCACATGGACAGATTTTTCACCCAGTCGGCTTGGGGATTCAAACCTGCAACCTTTCAGTTACTGGCCCAACGGTTTTAACCTCAAGGCTACCTGCCACACTTCCAGTGTTAGGCTGAAGATGTGGAAGGAATGAGATAGAGGGCTAATGAGATAGAGCTCTAGTGTGTGAGCCTGGGGCCTGGTGAAGTCTGGGTCCTAGCCCCAATATGAAAACACTAACCTGTCATCACTCCATGTGTACTTGAAGAGGCATCACATACTCTTCATCACTGCCTGACTTTCCGACTGTTCATAAAAGGTCCCGTGGCACTTGTCACGAATGTAGGGCTGTTAACCCTGGGGCCTCTCTCTCTACTTCAGCAACCCAATCATATACTCTAGCTCCCTCCACTGTAACTCTTCCCCTTGATGAGAATGAGAATCAGTGCAGTCAATGTTGAACCTCCTTCGTGCGTGTGTGTGGGTGTATTAGTGATGGTGAACGTTCTGGACCTTTTGGCAGGTATCCTCTGATAAATCACTGGATGACAACATTGCGTGGGCGACTTGAAAGGTTGCTTCAAGGAATGTTTAAGCATTAGCTTTTCATCTCATGCTAGTGGAGAAGAAAAGCAAAATGATTATTCAATGGGAAATTGAAGACACACGGACAGAAACATACATACACGTTCCCACACAATGACTCATAGTGACATCAACACACAATTTAACATTTGACATACCTTTCACGGGTATCGGAGGGATGGTTTTTAGGCAAACCCTGTTGTCTCTTTGCATGGCGTCTGATGTATTCAGTGTGTCGAGGTGTGAACAAAGCACATGGCAAGCAGGAGAGAAGGGGAGGAAACATTCATGAACTCAGACGGGATGCTTCTCACTCACGTGACTCCCAATGCCCTAGTTCTGCTGCAACACTCATAGATAAATGAACACGTATCTTCCACCATCTTAAATATTGTCAACAGAATAGTGTGCCTGTAATGGGATGGTGTCAGTGGTGGTTTAATGCCTTGTTAAGTAGATGTGACATGTCTAAGCTCTCTGGTTATGTGTGGGTGTGGGTTGATAGGTGTTTTAAAAGACCTCCATCTGTCTTCCTCTTCTCCCTTCATCCCCACTTCCCTTATTCCTTCCCTTTATTCTCCTCACACATTTTCTCCCTTTTCTACTCCTCTACTCTCTATTCCCACTCTTTCTCACTGACCTCTCCTCCATCTCTCTCTCTCCCTCTCTCTATAGGTGTGTGGTAAACTGACCCGGCCTGGGATAGGCTAGGAGCCAGCACTGATCTGGCCTGTGATAGGCCAGGAGTCAGAGCATGACCACCAGGGCCATGATTGGCTCCCCGGGCCCCAGTGGGCTGTCCCTGTCGCTGTGGCGGTGGGCGAGTCTCTGTGGGCCGGTCCTGCTGCTGGTTGCCATGACAACCCTACTGCCAGGTTGTTGCCAGGCATGCCCTCCACGGTGCGAGTGCTCGGCCCAAATCCGTTCCGTCTTGTGCCAGCGGCGGCGCCTCACCGGCATCCCAGAGGGCATCCCCACGGAAACGCGCCTCCTGGACCTCAGCCGGAACCGGCTCCGCTGGGTGGAGATGGGCGACCTGGCGCCGTATCCGCACCTTGAAGAAGTGGACCTGAGTGAGAACCTCATCGCCACACTGGAGCCCAAAGCGTTCGCCAACCTGCAGAGTCTCCGGGTGTTACGGCTGAGGGGGAATCAGCTGAAGCTTGTACCCATGGGGGCCTTCGCCAAGCTGGTCAACCTGACCACGCTGGACCTGAGCGAGAACAAGCTGGTGATTCTGTTAGACTACACCTTCCAGGACCTGAGGAGTCTAAGACACCTGGAGGTGGGAGACAACGACCTGGTCTACATCTCTCATGAGGTATTATAATAATAATATAATAATATGCCATTTAGCAGACGCTTTTATCCAAAGCGACTTACAGTCATGTGTGCATACATTTTTACGAATGGGTGGTCCTGTGGATCAAACCCACTACCCTGGCGTTACAAGCGCCATGCTCTACCAATTGAGCTACAGAGGTATTGAGCTGGTATCCATTTCATCATTCATTTTTCAAACACTATATTGTTCCTGATCTGTCTATAACCTTTTATTGATTCTACTATGTTTCCAAGATTGGAGCTCACATCTAATCAAATTTGATTTTATTATGTTTGAAGGCCTTCTCTGGTCTGCTAGGGCTGGAGGATCTGACCATCGAACGCTGCAACCTGACTTCCATCTCTGGCCAGACGTTGTCCTACCTACGCAGCCTGGTCACTTTGCGACTACGCCAGCTCAGCATCCCCACACTGGAGGACCAGAACTTCCGCAAGCTGACCAACCTGCGGGGGCTGGAGATCGACAACTGGCCCTACCTGGAGTACATCTCCCCCCTGAGCTTCCAGGGCCTGGACCTGTACTGGCTGTCCATCACCAACAGCAACATTACCTCCGTCCCCTCGTCCTCCTTCAGAAACCTGATCCACCTCACCCATCTCAACCTGTCCTACAACCCCATTACCACCCTGGAGCCTTGGGCCTTCAGGGACCTGCTGAGGCTCAAAGAGCTGATCATGGTGAACACAGGCTTGGCTACGGTGGAGCCCCACTCCCTGGGAGGCCTCAGACAGATCCGGGTCCTCAACTTCTCCTCCAACGACCTCCAGACCCTGGAGGAGCGATCGTTCCACTCCGTCAACAGCCTGGAGACGCTGCGGGTGGACGGGAACCCGTTGCTGTGTGACTGCCGTTTGTTGTGGATCCTGCAGAGACGCAAGACCCTCAACTTTGACGGCAGGGTGCCTGTGTGCGCTGGGCCGGTGGAGGTGCAGGGGAACAGCCTCAGCACCTTCACCGATTCTGCGCTCTTTGATCACTTCACCTGCCAGAAGCCCAAGATACGCAACCGCAAGCTTCAACAGGTAAGAGTTATTATCCCACTTTGCAGTACATGTAAGCATAGTGTAATTACAGTTTAGGTACACATTGATATGTAGTATTACAGCTTCGATGCCTGTTTCAGTTTTGTACCTAATACTTAATTCATTAATTTATCCATTCATTCATTCCTCCAAGGTGACGGCTCGTGAGGGCCAGCCAGTGAGTTTCCTCTGCAGTGCTGTAGGAGAGCCCACCCCCAACATCATGTGGATCTCCCCTCAGCGCAGACTAATCACAGCCAAGAGCAACGGCCGCATCACCGTCCTCCCAGGAGGGACTTTGGAGATCCGCTATGCCCAGGTCACCGACAGCGGCACCTACATGTGCATCGCCAGCAATGCCGGAGGCAACGACACCTACTTCGCGGTGCTCACCGTCCGGGGCGTGCCGCTGGATGCCGCGTCGGCCTTCTTCGCCAACCGCTCGATGTACGGCGGCGAGTTCTTCAACGACACAAACATGAATAGCACGCGCGTCTTCCTCAAGTTCACTCTGGACCTGACCACCATCCTGGTCTCCACGGCGATGGGCTGCATCACCTTCCTGGGCGTGGTGCTTTTCTGTTTCCTGTTATTGTTTGCATGGAGCCGGGGGCGGGGTCAGCGCAAGAACAACTTCACTGTGGAGACCCCTTTCCGGAAGGCCGAGGGGCCGGCGGCGGCGGGTGGCGCCGGAGGGGCCCGGAAATTCAACATGAAAATGATATGATACGACGCAGCCAGGGGTCACTCGGGGGAGGCATAAGCACGTCCTGGAAACGTGTTTGACAAGACACACACAGCGCTGACTCGCAAAGTGAATAAATAAAGAATACTAAAATGCATACAGTATTTACACATGGCTGGTATTCACCAGGACCAGATTCGGTTTGAGTGAGAAAAAAAACATGATGACCTTTGATCTCACTGCCTCTTCCTGGTTTTACTCAGCTTGTGGTACAACTTTCCGTTTATCTTTTCAAATAAATATAACATCATCATTAACCAGGTTTCCATCCAACCTTTTTATGCCAGTAAAGTACACGTCGGATAAAACATGTCATGCCAGCCTGATGGAAAAATAACATTTGTCGGTAAACTTTCCAAATGTCGACAAAACTAAATAGGCTAGACAAGGTGGGATTTATTTGTTGGAGTCACGCGACATGTTGTGTGGTCCTCCCACTATGACTCGTCAGGAAAGCATGCAGTTTATTAGGCTACAGATGAAATAAATGATAAATTATGATACATTTCACAGGGTGGTGAAAGTGCAAGGTGATGAGCTTGATTTCCAATAAATATTGAGGGTCTTATTCTGGTGACATGATGATCGATGCTTGGCTGCTGTTTGACCCCCAAAAAAAATCTCCCTCTTTTGTCCATAATAATCTCATCATGTAGGCTATAACCACACTGTATCTGCGAGCTGTTGGCACTATGTCATCACGCAAAGCCTTTTATCCGCAACAAGTCAATTTGATGGAAACACATCTCTGGTGGGAAAATGCACATATTGTTTTTATGCAGTTTTTAGAATATTCACATGAAAATCTGTCGCCAATTGGATGGAAACCTAGCTACTGAGCTTGATAAGGGGGTATTTTTGAAAAATATATAACATTGCCATTTAGCTTGATAAGAATGATAGAAGCTAAGAATTGAGTGTGATCTCTTATTGGGTGATTACTGTGCTGTGTAATGCTCATAGTTATGCCTCTCTCACAGGAAGTGACATCACAGGAAGTGAAAAGGACTTCCTGGACGCTATGCACTTGTAGTGGTCATTGCACACAGGGCATAGTTCTGACTAGAGGGAGTACAGCTATGACCGGAAGTTAGGAAAACGGTTAGGGTTAGATAAAATGCTTTCCTAATCTGCTATAAAAACTATCTTCCGGTTGTAGCTGTACTCCCTCTAGTCACAGCCCATGGAGAGACATGGATATCAACTAATCACAGCATTTGTAGTCTTGCTTTCTTAAATTCTGCCTTTCCGAGAAATATTGCAATAGCATGTAAATATTGCAATTTAGAGTACGTTGTATAGTAATAAGATTACAGTATTGAATAAAAACAAGCCATTTTTGTAAGACATTTGGGATATGATTTCTATTTATAAGACACCATCAAGGCCACAGCTGAACTGAGGAAGGTTGTGCTGAGACAAGGACTCCAGATAGAGATTGAATCAAAGTGAAATAAACGCATGAAACCTATTTCAATTATTTGACCTAATAACATTTAAGGAAAAAAAAGATCAGAAGAAACTTTGGCCTATCTATTTGAGTTTTTGAATACCACATCATATAAACATCAAAATAAAGTATATTCTGAAAAATCTAAATTGGGCCCACTTCACTTTCAGACGTGACCGTTTGCGACAAGGTTAGCTGTGTGAGTTGGACCGAGCGCACTGGCCGACGGTTGCCATGACGGCCTGACGCCCCAAGGGTTTGTTTGAAAAGCCAAGCCCAGTGGGCACGGGCCGCATGGTAACCATGACAACCACCACAGCCCAGGGCGGGGGGGAGATGTTGGGATGGTGGGATGAGAGGAGAGGGAGTATGTCCTTCCACTAATACTACCACCCTACCACTGCCAGGAGGGAGGGATGTGGGAAGAGGAAGGTGGAGGGGAGGAGCGCAAGCCTCACCTCTATAACCTCCCTCATACACTGCTCTCTCCTACTGCCCTGGGCCGTGCTGGGGAAAGAACTGACCTCCACAGAGCTGCCAGGGGGGAGCAGCCTGGAAGTCAGGACACACTCAGAGTAATGTACTGTACTGTACTGTACAGAACAGACTCACCTTCACAAAGGTTCACACTCAGAGTCATGTACTGTACTGTACAGAACAGACTCACCTTCACAAAGATTCACACTCAGAGTAATGTACTGTACTGTACAGAACAGACTCACCTTCACAAAGATTCACACTCAGAGTCATGTACTGTACTGTACAGAACAGACTCACCTTCACAAAGGTTCACACTCATTCACACATGCGTAGGACCTTTTCTCAGGCCAACACAGAGTCATATATAGGGAAAACACACATAGATACCTATTCTGACGCACACAAACCGTTGACATTACAACATTCCAGCAACACTGCATGTAGAAACACAAATCCTGCATGAAGCAACTAATGCACAGTTTTCATTACAAAGCCATAGCATTAGAATAGATTAGTGCTGGTAGTTTTCATATCCTGCAATGGATAGGCGTATCTGTATGATACATCCACTAGTATAACGATCGTTGTTTTTACCGTTACCATCTTGTGAGCTGTCATAATGATCATAAGACCATCTGCAGTAGTTTGGCTGGGAGAGTTGCACAGTCAGTCAGATAGATAGTGAGACATCACCACTCACAACACTACAGATCTATAGTAACTAGAACGGCACACCACCCTATTACCACTCACAACACTACAGATCTATAGTAACTAGAACGGCACACCACCCTATTACCACTCACAACACTACAGATCTATAGTAACTAGAACGGCACACCACCCTATTACCACTCACAACACTACAGATCTATAGTAACTAGAACGGCACACCACCCTATTACCACTCACAACACTACAGATCTATAGTAACTAGAACGGCACACCACCCTATTAGCACTCACAACACTACAGATCTATAGTAACTAGAACGGCACACCACCCTATTACCACTCACAACACTACAGATCTATAGTAACTAGAACGGCACACCACCCTATTACCACTCATAACACTACAGATCTATAGTAACTAGAACGGCACACCACCCTATTACCACTCACAACACTACAGATCTATAGTAACTAGAACGGCACACCACCCTATTACCACTCACAACACTACAGATCTATAGTAACTAGAACGGCACACCACCCTATTACCACTCATAACACTACAGATCTATAGTAACTAGAACGGCACACCACCCTATTACCACTCACAACACTACAGATCTATAGTAACTAGAACGGCACACCACCCTATTACCACTCACAACACTACAGATCTATAGTAACTAGAACTGCGTCCAGAAACAACCACTCTTCTCTTTCTCTGAGACGGCCAGTGCGCGAATGTTTGTGCCCCCCTAGCCCAGTGCGTCCCCCCTCTATCCCACACCCCCCACCCCCACTGGGTCCTCCTATGGGAGGGGTCCCTGGCTGGAGAACGATAACAACAAATGTAAATGAAGTGGTGTGAACCCTGTCCACGCCATGTGCATCGTGTAGTGGAGAGTACTGTGGTATTGTTCTCATTAGTTTAGTTTAGTTGCCTCCTTTTTGCGTTACCTCAGTTGATGTTCTCCATAAACCGTTTACCGTTAACCGTTTGAAGTCTGTGGCATCCGACAGAGACATTAGTCCTGTTTTCAACACCTAGAGGAGCTTCCATTCATTTCACCTTGAAGGTGTGTGTGTGTGTGTGTGTGTGTGTGTGTGTGTGTGTGTGTGTGTGTGTGTGGAGGGTTAACTATTTGCCATGATGTTTGCCATGATGTAGAAAAAAATGTAAGAAATTAGAAGGAGCTTGGTGTAGGACACAAGCTCACAATGCTTTCAAATCAGATGAATTCTGAAGGCTCTAAAATTATCCTCCAGTACATCTGTAGAACAAGCCGACCAAAGGCCTGTGTGATGATAAATAGTTCTGTATTTATTAAAGTTTAATGAGGCTGAATGGAAATAGATGAGGAAATTGGCCTGGTTTTCTCTCTGCCAGAAGAGACGTGTGAGAATTCATCTTCGCTCCCATTGCTCCGGTCTTAAGAACAAAAGTAATAACTCTCTGGATGTTTCCCATTCCAATCCCATGGTTTTCCCATATTCCCGTTTTTGGGAATGTCTGTTGTGGTTGTTAATGGTGTGATGGTGTAAACGTCAATCACAGATGTAGGGATTAGATAAAGGTATTTCATTTAGTTATCTTCTTCTTCTTCTTCTTCTTCTTCTTCTTCTTCTTCTTCTTCTTCTTCTTCTTCTTCTTCTTCTTCTTCAGTTTTCATTCCCAGACCTCGTTGTCCCCATTCACAGTAACTAGGCTGGAGTGTGGTTGTGTGGTAGCAGACACCTGTTCTATGTGGTCGGTGATTCGATTTTGTCATGTTTTGAGTTGTTGCTCTGAGTAATAATATAAACCATGGAGCAGGGACTTGTGCAACTGAAATAATGGTAAGGGGTGTACAAGGTTCTCTGAAACTTTGGTTCCTCTCTTGGAACCATCCTACCCCAACTTCTAGATTAGGACCTTCCATTCTAACTACGCACTGCATTCTGGGATATATCTCTGGGTAACAGAAACCTCTAGACTGTATGTAATGTCTCTACCAATATTCTGTCTGAGCCACTAACCCACAATAGTAAAGAAAGGGGGGAAATACTGTTCAAACACTCCAGAAATCTGGTCTGAACTGAAAACATTCTGTACTGATCCTAGACCAAAGCACATCTCCAGCTAGCCTCCTGTTAATTGAGTATTGTCGAGGGGAATAATGTTCTTTTTCTCGCCCTGGGAGGTATTGCTATGCTGTTCAGGTTTGAAGATAAGCATTTACATACATATGAAATTCATTCGACCTTCAGGGGTCCTTGACTGTAAGAGGAAGTAGAGTTGTAGTGTACTTCATTCGGTGCACTTCAAATAAAGAGCCCTTTGAACTTCTCTCAACCTGCTCTATCTCCATCCCTCTACCCCTCCACCTGAACGAGAGCAC